GGCCTCTACATTATGGACAAGGAATGTGTATGAAAATCATTATCATAAGAGTTTTTTTCATTCACATTTACCACAAAAACCAAGGTATGAATACTGTTGTGTGCATGTTTTGTTAATCATCTGTATAATTACTATTTTGGGGGATTCACAGACCCTCCCTACACCTCTGATGAATATAACAGGAAACCTGTTCGATCACCATTAACTGCAAAATCATTCTGGCTATGAATACGGAGAACATCAACACATTAACATCAACATGCCAGAGGATATACCCATTGGACTTGGGGCTCTGCTGGGAGTTTACCTTATATTTAGATTTTTTTATTCTGCTTTGCCACTAAAATGCTAATAAACAACAGGTTGAGTCATGAAGTGTCAGAGTTAATACTGTCATTGTCATAAGGCCAGTCTACCTACCTATAGCCTTCTTAAGTTATGTCAGTCTCTTCAGTGCCAGGTGTCAGGTGTATTATGGTTAAAGAGACTGACAATTCCAATTAAAGTCTAATCCAATTCTTAATTTACTATAGGGCCTCCTGTTTGTACCCAATTCAATTAGGTGTCTGACAGATAAAGGGCATCGTCTGCCCCAGGAGCAATGAAGTGCCTGTAGGTTTCCATAGGTGTCTGTGTGTCTGGCTATACCTCTCACAAACAGATAAAGAATAATAGAAGAAACTGTTATATTTTGGGGGAATAAATGACATGCCGATGAAATGTTCATTGTATTTCACAACACAATTCATGGGCCACAGAGTGGCACCTCTGACAGTTGCGAGGCCTTTTCAGAAAAGAAACAGACAACTATAATGAGTTGCCAAAGTGAAAAAATGCAATAGAAAAGGTCAAACTGAAATGTTTCTGAAAAGTGTCTGTAGCAGTAAGTCACTGACATTTTGGTCAGGATATTGTGCTGTGCTCAAACCTAGATTATTTGATAAAACAAGTAGTGGGCCTATGTGCCTTCATTATCATCCACCTGATCTTTTCTAAAGATTCTTCTTCCTCCCATTTTTAGACCCAGAAAATATATTTGTTGCTGAAGCAAGGTTTCCAGGGAAACAGATGGGTTGATCTAAACCTGAAGAAGGGCCAAACAGCTGTAAATGAAATCATACAGCCAGCTGCACTGGGATATGCTCCACTGAGTTCACTTTCTACTGCAACAGGTATACAGTAGCCTATATCATAATAAATGTCTAAACAGATTGGGTTATGTCAAATAATGTTCCATTGTGAGTTCCAATATGCAAAACAGCACTTGCCCAATCAGCCTCTATGTCTGGAACTCTAGATCACTTGAAATGTCTGCATTATCTTAATGAATTCATATGGAAAGTGAAAAACTGATAGAAAAAACTTCAAGATGGTAGCCACATGTAAACCATTTCATGTAATTTTGCTGTTGTTTTGTCTTTTTTTTCTCGTGTCCACCTGTATATCATCTTTTTATTTTAAAGCCTATATAGTTTGACTGATGCTGGAAATTAGTGCAAACTATTTGATGTTGCAGTGTATCTGACAGATTGTTTTTGTTTTCATTGTATTTGTCCCTATCAAATAAATGAATGGCCACTCTTCACACTAACTAAATAGGGTAATTACTCAAGAGGGATGATCAAGTGATGATCAACTGGTCAATTATTGATGCCGCGTGATGCGATCTAAACCCAAAAAGAACAACTTAATACGTTTATACTCATGTCTAAGCTTGTGTGCTCAAAGCCTGTTGATTCCTTCATACAGTTGAAGTCAGAAGTTTACATACACCTTAGCCAAATACATTTAAACTCAGTTTTTCACAATTCCTGACATTTAATCCTAGTAAAAATTCCCTGTTTTAGGTCAGTTAGGATCACCACTTTATTTTAAGAATGTGAAATGTCAGAATAATAGTAGAGAGAATTATTTATTTCAGCTTTTATTTCTTTCAACACATTCCCCGTGGGTCAGAAGTTAACATACACTCAATTAGTATTTGGTAGCATTGCCTTTAAATTGTTTAACTTTGGGCAAACGTTTCGGGTAGCCTTCCACAAGCTTCCCACAATAAGTTGGGTGAATTTTGGCCCATTCCTCCTGACAGAGCTGGTGTAACTGAGTCAGGTTTGGCCTCCTTGCTCGCACACACCTTTTCAGCTCTGCCCACACATTTTCTATAGGATTGAGGTCAGGGCTTTGTGATGGCCAGTCCAATACCTTGACTTTGTTGTCCTTAAGCCATTTTGCCACAACTTTGGAAGTATGCTTGGGGTCATTATCCATTTGGAAGACCCATTTGCGAACAAGCTTTAACTTCCTGACTGATGTCTTGAGATGTTGCTTCAATATATCTATATAATTGTCCTTCCTCATGATGCCATCTATTTTGTGAAGTGCACCAGTCCCTCCTGCAGCAAAGCAACCCCAGAGCATATTGCTGCCACCCCCGTGCTTCACGGTTGGGATGGTGTTCTTCGGCTTGCAAGCAACCCCCTTATTCCTCCAAACATAACAATGGTCATGATGGCCAAACAGTTCTATTTTTGTTTAATCAGACCAGAGGACATTTCTCAAAAAAGTACGATCTTTGTCCCCATGTGCAGTTGCAAACCGTAGTCTGGCTTTTTTATAGTGGTTTTAGAGCAGTGGCTTCTTCCTTGCTGAGCGGCCTTTCAGGTTATGTCGATATAGGACTTGTTTTACTGTGGATATAGATACTTTTGTACCTGTTTCCTCCAGCATCTTCACAAGGTCCTTTGCTGTTGTTCTGGGATTGATTTGCACATTTCACACCAAATTACGTTAATCTCTAGGAGACAGAACGCGTCTCCTTCCTGAGCGGTATGACGGCTGCGTGGTCCCATGGTGTTTATACTTGCGTACTATTGTTTGTACAGATGAACGTGGTACCTTCAGGCGTTTGGAAATTGCTCCCAAGGATGAACCAGACTTGTGAAGGTCTACCATTTTTTTCTGAGGTCTTGGCTGATTTCTTTTGATTTTCCCATGATGTCAAGCAAAGAGGCACTGAGTTTGAAGGTAGGCCTTGAAATACATCCACAGGTACACCTCCAATTGACTCAAATGATGTCAATTAGCCTATCAGAAACGTCTAAAACCATGACATCATTTTCTGGAATTTTCCAAGCTGTTTAAAGGCACAGTCAACTTAGTGTATATAAATTTGTGACCCACTGGAATTGTGATACAGTTAATTATATGTGAAATATTCTGTCTGTAAACAATTGTTGGAAAAATTACTTGTGTCATGCACAAAGTAGATGTCCTAACCGACTTGCCAAAACTATAGTTTGTTAACAAGACATTTGTGGAGTGGTTGAAAAACAAATTTTAATGACTCCAACCTAAGTGTATGTAAACTTCCGACTTCAACTGTATATATTATGTAAACACGTCCTTTAAGAGTGTATCTTCTGACTAATTCACGAGCTTCAGTGATTGTGACTGGCTCTCTTGAGGATATCATCATTTTCTCTTATTGGTCGGCTCCCAACGTCGCCTGGGAGAGTGTATAAAAAGCATCATATTCCATCTAGCGCAAGTCCATCTCTGGGGTGCGGTGTAGACTATATAGTTCTGCAAACAGTGCGCGAGAAAGCGGGAGAAGGCGGGAGAAAACACCTGTTACGGAAGAATCAAGTCGACAAAGCAGCCTCCAGGTCATCCGTAAGTTTATTAAGCTGAATTCAACCGGTGTCTAAAATTGAATATTTGTGTCACTCAAGCGCGCATAATGAAATATATTTCGGCACCGAGAGCATACCAACTTCTAATTTTAACTTGTTGCACTTTATTTTCGCGTTATGATAGGCATAGGCTGATAGGCTAATGTAAACTACTACATTATTTACTTTTTAAATAATACATTGACTTTCTTCCAGTACACCAAGTTTTGCTAAAATCTAAGGAGATCCGTCTTGATTCTCTATGAAGGCAAAGTTATTATAAATTAAAGCTTGTGCATATTCATCACAGACCAGACCTGCTTTAGCCTATCATTTTGTCTGTATCTTCCATCTCTTATCAACATGCACAAAATGTAAGTTCAATTTAACTTAAAAGAATAGAATAGAATAGAATACCATATGACTGTTAAAGAGGATCTCAATGTGCTTAAGAGTGTTTATTTTTACATCACATTTTAAAATGAACCAAATGAAACCTAAACAAAATTAACTGTGGTTCTAAGATGAATAAATGTATTGAAAAATTCATGAGTGAAGGCTACGTGTGTTATTCTGGCTAATGTAGCAGTCTTTATTATTCCACAGGAGCAATTTGTTGTTCAGCATGTTGACATATACTCACTGCTACCTAGACAACATGTATGAATGTACTACTGTATGAGTACAATAATAGTGTTTTCTTAGCCTTTGTAAATCAATCATGTGCTAACATTGCATGTATATTTACATACCACTTATTTAGGCTGAAAAATGATTTATTTATTCAACAGCTCTATAATTAAGCAATAAGGCACGGGGGGTGTGGTATATAGACAATATACCATGGCTAAGGGCTGTTCTTAGGCACGTTGCATCGCGGAGTGCCTGGATACAGCCATTAGCCGTGGTATATTAGCCATATACCACAAACCCCCGAGGTGCCTTATTGCTATTATAAACTGGTTACCAACTTAATTAGAGCAGTAAAAAATAATTGATTTGTCATACCCTTGTTATACGGTCTGATATACCACGGCTGTCAGCCAATCAGCATTCAGGGCTCGAACCACCCAGTTTATAATATTGGCCATATATAACACCCCCCTCGGGCCTTATTGCTTAAGTATACACTTGACACATTGGGGTCCATTTCATTGATTTTATCGTTTTTAGATTCAGTTAATCATTTCTTACACAGATATAGCAACAGTTGCAATGTGATTTACTCAGTTGTTAATTCATGTATTTCATAACTGCTGCCATGTTTGTGCTTTTGCCTGCAGACAGAGAAACACCCCTGTATCCCACCTGGTGAAGCCCAGTGGGATAATGTGGGTTCTGGACAAGATCCGTGGGTCAGTAGAGACCACTGTTCTCCGGCGGGGGGAGAATGGGGACAAGGAGGGCAATACTCCAGCCTACAGCAACGTCCTCACCCCTGATAAAATCCCTGATTTCTTCATTCCCCCCAAGCTGGTCTGCTGCCCCCCGGAGCCTGAGACCTTGGACGTCGTCAAGCCCAAGGAGGGGCTGCGGCCCTCGGCCTCTGAGCAGACCATTGGCAGTAAGAAGATCAGCAGCCCTCGCAGCCCACGTCTGGTCGCCAAGCTGGCTGGGGACACCAAGAACCTGTTGAGGGCCGCCAACCGTCACATTATCCAGATAGAGAGCGCTGATGACGTGGTGGCAGGGGACACAAACGCTGACCCTCAGTCTCAGACCGCTATGTCACTGCCCTACGTCCCCAAGACCCAGACCTCCTATGGTTTTGCCACTCTGATGGAGAGCCCCCACACCCGCCGCAAGGAGTCCCTGTTCCACTGTGACCAGACCAGCCCCCTGACCTCCCCGAACTCCCAGAGGAAGGGGAAGAGCAGCGTCAGCGAGGGCAACCACCTCAACCCCCCTGACTTCAACGCCTCTCACAACCCGTACCGCTACTTTAGCGGAGGGGAGAGTGATACCTGTTCCTCGGCTGAGTCCTCTCCCTTCAACTCCCCACTGCTCTCCCGCTCTGCCTCGCTGCTAAAAGTTTTCACCCATGAGACGCAGGCCAAGGTGGTGAAAGCCAAGAGGACGTTTGCCCGCCACAGCTCCTTGTCCACAGACGAGTGCAGCTCGGCCGAGCCCAGTCCCAATGCGCTGCGGAGGCTCCACTCCTCATCCCTCCACGCCGGTGGGCCATCGGACCGGGAGCACACCGTCAACCTGCACAAGGGTGGCAGGGTGAGGCTCAGCGCCGACTACGATGCCGGCACGGCCCGCCTGCGCATCCGCATTCTGGCTGCCGAAGAGCTTTACGACAAGATGTACGACATCAAGAGCATCAACTGTTGCGTGTCGCTGTACCTCAACCCTGGCAAGCTGCAGAAACAACGGAGCACTATCATAAAGAACAGCCGAAATCCTGTGTTCAACGAGGACTTCTTCTTTGACTCTGTGACTTCAGTGCAGGTGAAGAACCTAGCAGTGAAAATCAAGGTGGTGAATAAGGGCACCAGCCTGAAGAGAGACACTCTGCTGGGGGAGAGAGAGATCCCTCTGGGGAAGCTTCTCCATGGCCTCTAGGTCTGTCCTGGAGATACAGAACAGTACTCTGACTGACACAGAATGAGACTATGAATGATAACGTGCATGAATAGAAGATTTATAACTGGAGTTAGATGTTTGCTTGGTGTCCCCTGTATTCACATAGAACTGTCTGAAAGGAACAGTTAATTTACAGTCAATGTCTGGTCTGGTCTCTTAGCTGGTCACCTCCTCAACCTTCTGTTCCCTGAGCCTGCAGCCCTACACAGCCCAACTTCTAGATCATGTGGTGGACAATCGAATATGACACAGGTCAAAAAACACCTGCACGTTTGAGTGACTCACTTTTTGTACTCTCTTGATCTCGACGTTGAATGTAGCATGGTTGCAATTACATGTGACTCAGACAATACAGGATGCGAGTCTCTATGATTCAGTTTTTATTCAGCACTACAACGCTTTTATGGATCAGGGGGTCTTTGATGTCGCCTCTATAACTTGATGTGCAAATTATCCTTTGATCCTGATTGTTGTTGTGTTCTACAGTAGCCTACTACCGGAAGGAGGGCCAATCTGTGATGTGACCACAATGTCCCAAACCTGGAGAATAGAGATCAGACGTCACCACCTGCTTCCCAGCCGCTTGGCATGAATATGTAAATGCAGTGATATGTTAGCAGTTTGTACTTCAGTTTCATAACACCTACAAGCATTACCAAGAGAGATAGAAAGAGAGAGAGAGGGGGGGGGGGGGGGGGGGGGAGAGAGAGAGAGTGTATGCATTACATTTGAAAGAGTATGACATTTTTCAAAGGTGTTGAACATGATTTTATACATAGATGTGGTTTTTGTATGAGACATATGCTTCAGTATGATGTACACTGCATGACCAAAAGTATGTGGACACCTGCTCGTCGAACATCTCATTCCAAAATCATGGGCATTAATATGGAGTTGGTCCCCCCTTTGCTGCTATAACAGCCTCCACTCTTCTGGGAAGGCATCCCATTAGATGTTGGAACATTGCTGCGGGACTTGCTTCCATTCAGTCACAAGAGCATTAGTGAGGTCGTGCACTGATGTTGGGTGATTAGGCCTGGCTCGCAATCGGCGTTCCAATTCATCCCAAAGGTGTTCGATGGGGTTGATGTTAGGACTCTGTGCAGGTCAAGTTCTTCCACACTGATCTCGACAAACCTTTTCTGTATGTACCTCGCTTGTGCACAGGGGCATTGTGATGCTGAAACTTCCCCAAACTGTTGCCACAAACTTGGAAGCGCAGAATCGTCTAGAATGTCATTGCATGCTGTAACTAAGGGGCATGGCCTGAACCATGAAAAACAGCCCCAGACCATTATTCCTCCTCCACCAAACTTTACAGTTGGCACTATGCATTCGGGCAGGTAGCGTTCTCCTGGCATCCGCCAAACCCAGATTCGTCCGTCGTACTGCCAGATGGTGAGGCATGATTCATCACTCCAGAGAACTGCTCCAGAGTCCAATGGCGGCGAGCTTTACACCACTCCAGCCGACGCTTGGCATTGCGCATGGCTGCCATGGAAACCCATTTCATGAAGCTCCCGACGAACAGTTATTGTGTTGACATTGCTTCCAGAGGCAGTTTGGAACTCGGTAGTGAGTGTTGCAACCGAGGACAGACTATTTTTACACACTACTCGCTTCAGCACTAGGCGGTCCCATTCTGTGAGCTTGTGTGGCCTACCACTTCGCGGCTGAGTCGTTGTTGCTCCTAGATGTTTCCACTTCACAATAACAGCACTTACAGTTGACCGGGGCAGCTCTAGCAGGGCAGAAATTTGACGAACTGACTTGTTGGAATGGTGGCATCCTATGACGGTGCCATGTTGAAAGTCACTAAGCTCTTCAGTACGGGCCATTCTACTGCCAATGTTTGTCTATGGAGATTGCATGGCTGTGTGCTTGATTTTATACATTTTACATTTACATTTTCGTCATTTAGCAGACGCTCTTATCCAGAGCAACTGTCAGCAACGGGTGTGGCTGAAATAGCCGAATCCACTCATTTGAAGGGGTGTCAACATACTTTTGTATATATAGTGTACGTGTGAATTGTTATCAAGATACAACATTATGACTTTGTAAATTATGTACTGCTCCCTGCTGGAGAGTGAATGATTGGCAGCCCCCTGACCCTAAAAACCTTATAATTTGCTGAATTCATTATTATGATGGTGACCTGTGTTTTCCACACCTGGCAGTGTAGACAAGCCACTAGGCCAGAGGACTGAGAAAGAAAAAACATTTACAATAACAAATATTTACAATAAACAATATTGACATGAAGGACAGTCTTCTACTCTCTGCATGTGCTCTGCTGTCCTTTAAAATGAATGACAATACATCTGATCTGATTGCAATTTCAAGTAGGAGACAGAGGAAAGAAACAGAGGTTGTTTTTGAAGATGGTTAAAGGGTCACCACACACATTCATCTTTGAGATATGGAGTCATCTAATCGTGTCAAACATCACTGTTTTACAGTATATAGCCAGTGTTTTTGTGTGTTACATTCCCTGTCATGTTGGAACCTAGACTATACAATAGAGCTCTCTACAATACCATTGCTTTCCCCCAAGCTTATACTTTATATAACTTGACTTTGCTCTAAGTGTGAGGATTTTGTTATTGTGGAAAATTCGTAATCTTCTACAATACTATTAAATGATTGATTTGTGTGTGCTCAATGCTCATGCTATACCTGCTGTACAAGGGCACGTGCTCACTGAGTTGTAACCAATCCCTTCTTTGGCTTACATCGGCATGACTAAGAAACTAAAATATTGTCAGTAGATTTTATAAGACTTGTAGTAGGCAGGGTCAAAATGTAGCCTAAGTGCTTTTATGATGAAAATTCAATTAAAACAAAAAGTGTATTTGGGGGATTGCCGAACAAGGACTATTTTCGTAATTGATTGTCTTTTCTTGTTTCTCATCTACAGATGTAGGATCTTAATTTGCAGTTTGCTACAGCAGGAAAATAATCCTGCAGCAACAGGAAATGTGCATTATAATTAATGAATTTTTTTGTGGGCTTTGATACATTTTTCGTTAGGGCAAATCAAGTCTGAAATTTCAAAGTGGAAATTACAAACTTTAGAATCCTTTTTAAAACTTAGATACACTCCAAGTTTGCATTTCCTGTTGTGCAGGAAAATTCTCAGCAACAAAAGAGTTATCAAATTAAGATCTTACATCAGTATTTAAAAAAGCCCAATGTACATTTGAACTAGGAATAATTATCCTGAGAAATGAAATCTGTGCTGCAAGCTCTCACTCAACAGGTTAGATATGCAATTAAAAAAAGATAATCAACTATTTCAAATGGATTCAATTAACGTTCTCCTCATGACTGTGTTTTCAGGCATTGGGCGACAGTTGTGGTTCTGCTATTTCCAGTTAGGCTATGATTTCAAGTGCTTTAAATACTGTAGGCCAGACCTCCTTGCTGATTATCTTCTATACCAACCACAGGGTTAAATATCCTGGTTGAATACACTGTAAATATATATATCTTACTAACTAGGCTGCTTATGGTGCCCATGTGTGTCATGTTATGGGATGCCAATGGGAGGGCTTACTGTCAGCTAGATAATGGATAAATATATTATGTATACATGCAGTCATGTATAAAATAAATTCAGTGCTTTTAGATCTGAGCACCTGACTTCTAACAGTGCTGGAATACCCACTATCCTCTATGATGTGTGTTTTTCTCTGTTTGTTGTGGGTAAGCCCAACACCCCTATTGTGAGTGCAGAAAACCTGCAGATGTATAATGTATATAGTCACTTTAAGTGGGTTTGCCATCATAGCATGGACTTGCTTTATAGAATAAGACCCCTGCTTGATGCATTAGATACACGGTTAGCCAATTTGATTGCCAACCTTGATTTAAGTCTCTGAGGGATTGCCAGAATGAACTTTACAATTAGCTAGTAGTTGGTGTTCAGAAATCCTTCCTCGTTATTCTGTGCTAAATGGCTATTTAATTACACAAGAGCTAAAAAGGTCTGACTGTCAACATTTTTTAACTATACTTGGAAGACTCTGTGCTTATGTGAAATAATGAAAGTGGGGATGGATATTTATTTCAGTGATCTAATTTCTACAGAGGAGAGGAGATGTTTAATATGCTGAACTTATTCTGTTTCTCAAGTCTTCCTGTCTCGACAACAGGTTTTCAGAAAATGAAACGAGTGCCAATCCGTCGTACTTGATGCCAAATTCTTTAATTGTTCTCTCAAGGTGTTAGATAAATGATGGATGCTAGTTAGTTTCTATCTACTGTATTGTTATTGTTGGTGTGAGTACTTATGTCTTTTATACTGTGATGTCATTACTAATGGACACCTGTGGGTTTTCCTGACTGTTCCTCAAACTGTGTTGATATAGGCCTATGTATGACTATGAAATGCCTTGATTAAAAGCAAATGTATTGTAGATTCTTCATAACATCATTACTACTTTGTTGACATAATGACTTTATACAAATCAGTGCTATAGCAGTGACTTTCTCACATTGTGTTAATCATCAGATCTGATACAACAGTAATTCTCATATTAGGGCTCTATTCAATCAGTATTGCGGAAATTCAGCGTTACAGCGTAATTTAAAGTTAAAGGCAATTATCCTGTGTTAGCGGAGACTGCATTCACGGTAAACGCTGCATATGTCGGCTCAATCGGAAATTACCTTGCCATTTCTAGCACGCAATCTGTAACGATTCAGCGATACAGATTGAATAGAGCCCTTAGTGTGCTAGTCAGAATAAGAGTTTAGAGAATACATTACTAATAATGATTTTAGAGTCCCAAAGGCACATGGCTCCATTATCTCCACATAATTATACACCTCTGCTTAAGAATGTCTTCTGTGTGAATCAGTAGGGCTTCTAATGAAGCAGCAGTCATTATAGCAGCAATCCTCTCTACAGTGTCTAAGGGTCAGTCCAACTACTGCAGTCACCAACTGTCACCTCTCTATCACATGAACTCATG